GTGACATCACCACACACAGGAAGGGGAGACGTGACATCACCACACACAGGAAGGGGAGACGTGACATTACCACACACAGGAAGGGGAGACGTGACATCTCGACAGGACAACAGGAAAATGGAAATGTAACTAAACAATATAGAGAACACGATACTTAACAAATAGAAAACCCAAATATTACTACATGCCAAAAAACACCATAAACTAAAAGGCTGGGTCACATGACCCAGATCCATGACACCCCTCTTCCAGCGGATCCAGCTGTTGATGTGCTCTTACAATATAAAGCCGACTGTTGTTGTGATTTGGCTGTATACAAATACACTGAATTGAATTGACAGTATGCAGATTTAGGGATGTAGTGACCATTGGACACTGTGCATTTCAGGCAGAGGTACAAGACACTGACTCAGTGATCTGCCTCAGCAGGATCTACAGTGAGGATATCATGATGTCATACAGAGTGGGTAAGTGTGGGCGAATAGTTGCAAACAGAGCAACAGTGATCTGGACTGCAGGGGTGGATCTACCAGTGACACGATACAGGACATACAATTAAATAGAAACATGACCTTTTTTGTAAATAAAAGATATTTTAATACATTCTTCAGTTTGTGGTCTGCTGATGGAAAGAGATGCGTTGGGTCAGTGAAACAGTATAGATGGAAGCACTGCACAGACTAAATAATCGACTCGATCTTTGAGGAAACAAAGAGAAGTCGCAGCAGATGGCCCCGCCCCTCCTGAACCTGGTTCTGCTGGAGGTTTCTTCCTGTTAAAAGGGAGTTTTTCCTTCCCACTGTTGCCAAAGTGCTGCTCATAGGGGGTCATATGATTATTGGGTTTTTCTCTGTATCTATGAAGTGCCTTGAGGCGACTAAATTGAATTGAATTGAATTGAAGTGTGGGAGCGATGAACTGACTGGACATGTGGGGACAACTTGTGGAAGAAGACACAGGTAAGACTACTGTGGGCGGGGCATATAAATACCAAGGTGGGAAAAACCCACAGTGTGTTTCGGTTAAAAAGGAAAGCATCTGAAAGGGCTCCTCTAAACGCTCTTCCTCACTGAGAACCAAAACAGAATCTCAAACGTATTCAGCTGAAGAACGACATCAATGCAGAGCTGTGGCTTCTGAGGTATCTGGAGTATTTTCTGCTTTCCTTTAAAACTCCAGGGAATGCAGGAAGCTTGCTCCTAGCTTACAGGAACCTACAGTCGAACTGGCTGAACAGGATCAAAAGATTTCACCTGAGCTCAGTTTCACTCATCAGGTAAAGGCTGTGGACCGCAGTGAGCGTCGATCAGTAAAAACAGTAGAGTTTGTACTTTACTGTCTGTGTGTGGTTTCTTCATGTCAGAACACCAACAGCTGCTCATTGTTGGGTTGTGACCTTTCAATATGAACACCTGTAACTTCATATTGTCAGGTCTGACACCAACCACAGGTTTTCTCAGCAGGAACAATCAAAGCCTTTGTTTTCCTGCAGACTGTGTAAAATAAATCTGTTTCCAGCTCTGCGTGGTAGGGCTGGCTATCGACGTCGACTTCTGCGTTCAATTTGATTGAATTCAGACTCAGGCGGTCAGAAAT